TATAATTTAATTAATTAATATATATATTTTTAATAAATATATAAAGGTCACAAATCTATGCAATTTGGTCACAATTCAAAATTTTTAGGGTCACAATTAAAATTTTTTATAGGTAACAGTTCGTTTATCGGTCACAAATTAAAAATTTTAAAATCACAATTTGTTCATTGGTCACAAATCACAAAATTTATAATTGGTCACAAAACATCAAATTATAGGTCACAGATTACTTTTACTGGCCACAACTCGATTATAACTTAATAAGATGTAAGTCACAGTTACAATTTTTAGGTCACACATTATTAATTTGTCAAAAATTAACCAATTATTGGTCACAATCAACCAAATAATTGGTCACAAACACCCACGTCCATCATCACGACACTGCACACAACACAACGCCGCACACACCCAACTACAATCGCACGCACGCACGCCGACAACCTCCACAAAATCACCAATCCAACACAGCCACCAACACCACCATCAACGCCACCACAACACCAAAATGGCCACCAGATTTCTCCACTCTAGTGGAGATGACGCCTCTACATAGTGACTCCGGCTAAGCAGATCAAATTAGAGGAGAACAAAATCACCGTAAAATACCCCAAACTCCCTCCCCAAATTCTCTGTTATGCCGACGACCAAAATATCCAAACCCCTTCCAATATTTTTCTATCCAGTGGCGAAACCGCCATGGCTGGCTGGGTGACTCTACAGTGTTGCTCTGGCTAGGACTGTGCACCTCCGATGGTAAAGGGAAGTTAGTTTTAGCTTTAGATCCATGGAACTCACGAGCGACGATGTTGTAAGCACGTGCCGCCGCCTCCGCCGTGTCGAACGTGCCCAACCAGACACGTCTTTTCTTCCCAGGATCACGAATCTCCATCGCGTAATGGCCCTACGGCCTCTTCCTCACGCCCCTGTAGTGCACCTCATTAACGCCATTAACAGCATTATTAGCCTTCTCCTTTACAACCATGAAAAAAATCTTGAAATTTCCCGTTGAAGAGAAAGGTTAGTGGTGATAAGGGGTTACAGATTGAAGGAAAATGGACGAAATGGTGGTGCAGGCAGGTGGCGGCGGCGGTGGGGATAGAGAGAGATGGGAGAGAAAATGGTTTGGCAGGAGAGGGAGAGAGAGGGGGGGGGGGGTTGAAAATAAAATAATTAGGGTTTGAAATTGTGTAGGCTTGATTTAAATAAAAATTAATTTAAAAACCATTAATCAAAACCTGATTTATGTATTATTAAAGTTGATTCTAGATTTATGAAAATTGTATCTTAAAAACCTGTGAGGCTCTAATT